AGGCAGTGATGTTTGTTCTGAAAGGAGCTCAGAGCAGGGCCAGGAGCCCCTGCTGAGCACAGCACAGCGAGGCAAGGCCTCTGTGCCCCTGAATTAGCTCCAGGCTTTGTGATTTACATCAGCTCCCAGAACTCAGAGCCCTGCAGGAGCAGCTCTGAAAGGTGAAAGGTGGAAACATTTCTCAGTTAAGGTGTTGTTTAACAACTTGGGAATTTTTCCCCCCCATTTTAGCAAATTCCTCTAGGTCTCTAACAGGCTTGATTTCGATTTCAACCCTGTTTTTTTTTGCCATGAGGGAAAGCTGAGCTGACATAGGACTCACTCCTATATCAGGAGGGAAAGTGAGGTTCACCTTGCAATGAGGTCTTGGGGGTTCTCCTGAGAGGTCATGAGCTGTCACCACCTCTTCAGTCCCATTGTAAATGTCACATTGTTTGTCACCTTCAGTAGAGTTGTGGGTGGAGCTGGGGCTCTGCTGCCCGGGCAGGGCAGGGCTGGCTCTGCACTCTGTGTGTGCTGCATGTGGTGTGAACATCCACCCCACAGGGAAACAAGAAAATGCCTTATCGTGGACACTCCTCACCCAACTCGCATGTGGCTGTAAGAGAAGTCTTAGTTCTCTAGCTCTGATGTTGTCTGTCCAACCATTTCTGAATGTTTCCATTTCCAAGTGACAATCCTCAATGACTGCTCTAGGCAGAGATGTTTTAGCAACAGATTTTTAGACCTAATTTGAGTTGAAAAAAAAAAAAATATATGCACAAGAGTCACTCTAAGATACTTTGTTTATATACTTATTGTACATAAGATTCTTTTTTTTTTTTTTTTTTGTGCAATAAAGTTTGTTTTGGCAGAATTTAGCCTGTGGTGCTGCTTAGTGCAACAACAACTCCTTCACAGAGCAGAGAGGACTGCAGAGCACTTTCTCCACTACACAATTCTTTTTTTCTCTCCCACTGCTGTCTCCAAGATTCTTCAGCCCAAATCCAATTGACAGCCCCTGAGACTCCACTTCCAGCTCATTTTCCTCTTGCTGGGACAAGTAATGAGTTTTCTGTACTAAGTGGCATTTGCCTCCACAACCAGGGAAGGAAATGAGAGCTAATCCACCAGGAAGGAATCCTATGGAACTTTTCAAGCTAGATAATTCTTTATAAAACTTTTATTTCAAGTCCACTGTTCCTGTGTTCCAGGTGATATGCAAAGAACATCCCCAGGGTTAGAGACAGGCACAGAACAGGCAGCAGTCAAGGAATTGCCTCCTTGGCTTCCTCTGGAGTGATTTCCTGAGAGTACAGCTCAGTGAAGAGAGCAGGCAGCCAGTACTGAGCTTCTCCTGGGGCCTGTGTGTCCAGCCAGGCCATTCCTTCCTTCAGCAAGTGTTCCTGGACAGACAGAGCACAACCTGTGAGTGAAAACTTCACTGGCTCAGGAGCTGTTCCCAAGAGGGGCTGATCCCACATTAATTCCAGGCAAGGGAGGGTGGAGAACTTAGGCTACAATGATTTTGACTCAGCTTGACCAGGAGAAACACAGTTCAGACATCTAACTGAAGGACAAGGGTTTAAGCTACCAGAGGGCAAGGCTGGATGGGATATTGGGAAGAAATCCTTCCCTGGGAGGGTGGGGAGACACTGGCACAGGTTGCCCAGAGCACCTGTGGCTGCTCCATCCCTGGGAGTGTTCCAGGCCAGGATGAGGCTTGAAACAACCTGGATTAGTGGAAGGTGTCCCTGTCCATGGCATGGGGTGGGACTGGATCTCTAAGGTCCTTCCAACCCAAATTAATCCATGAAATTTTGAGGGAAATGAGTGAAAGCACAGGAGTAGCTATACTTCTGGGATTTTGCTTTCCTCAATCCCTGTTTCCACAGTGTGGACTTTGCCTCTGGACTTCCAGCAGCTCAGGATTCCCTGCTAACCCCCTCGAGTGTGTGCCCCAGGCCTGTAGGAACAGCTTTATCCTAGAGCTCCACTGGTCCATCAGCTCTTCCCACCTACCAGCACTTGCTTTGCACGTTCTGTCTCCCACTTCAGGCTGGACCTGATCTCACTGACTGTTACAAAGCCCTTTTTCTGTGGGGGGGAAAAAAAAAAAGAGGAAAAATAGTGTCTGGTTAGAGTCAAGACTTAAATCCAGAGTTTGGACCAGGCCTGGTCCAAACAAGTCTCCTGGCTCAGTACCTCTGCCAACTGCAGGACAACAGTGTGGTCCATGTTCAGCTCAGCTGGCACAGACTGGATCAGGTATGTCCCACCAACAGGGATAATCCCAAAGCCATTCCCCAACACCTTCAGCTTCTTGATGGCACGAAGGAGATCATCCCTGAGGAGCAGAGGTCAGTTAGAGCCTCTCACACTGTGTCCTGTCAAGGAGCAACACTCAAGCACAAGCCATGAGCAGGAGCTCCTTTGCTTGCTGCAGTTTCAGCTTATCAACAGCTGAAAACAACTTTTAGGAGGTAATTTAGAGTGAGTTTGTGTCTCTGTGCCCCAGTGCAGACTCAGGTTAGAGACACAGCTGAGCTGCAAGTGTTAAATTGGAGGATTCAGCCCTAATTAGTAAGCTGTGTCCTAAAATCTGCTTCTGTGAGCACACACATCAGTCCCTTCCTCACAGCAGCTCCAGGTGGGGCTGGATTTGCAGGGAACTAGTTGTGTCCAGCTCAAAGCACCAATCCCTGATGCCTTAGGGCTCCCAGAGAAGCACATTGCTATCCCTGGAATGGTTAATTGTGGAGCCCATGGAAGTGGCTCCAGGGCTAGAAGTCACATTTGGGAGTCCTCAACTCATCACCCCTTTTGTTCCCCAAGTGCCACTGGATTCCCTGTGCTGTGGCACAGACACTCACTGGCTGACATCCTGAGCAAACTTCCCTCTTCCCTTCAGCACCTGCTGATGAAGTTCTTCCAGTGTTATCAGACCTGGGAGATAAGAAGAGGGACAGGAAAGCATCACTGCATGGCAACAAACTGCAGAGAGAGCACTCAAGGGCCCTTTGTGCTCTGCCAGGGCCTCCCAGGGTCTGTTCATTGTTCCCAGTAAGGCTGAGACAAACATCCAGTCACTTCTGTTCCCAGGCAGCTGTTGCCTTCTCCCATAAATGTGTTGGATTCAAGTTTCACTGGCTTTGCTGCAGCTCATTCCTGGGCTCAGATTGCCCTTTTGGAGTGAAGAACATCATCTATCTTTTAATTAAGCACTTAGCACTGGTATTCCAACCCTCTGGATACTGCTGGGATCCTTCAGAGCTGATCTCACTGGAGGCTCCAAGGAGGAACAGCTCCTTCCAGCTTGTCCCTGATCCCTGCTCATTCCCATGATCCTGAGAGTTATCTTTCAGTTCCCTAAACAGGGCAGAGTTGGTGATTTCTGAATCAATAAGTGGTCTAACTGTGACAGGATGTAGAAGACCTTGTGGGGACAAAATTACCACTTCATTAATTAGTGGAATCTCATCAAGATCATTACATTGAGAGATATAACTCCTTTTCTACAGGGGAAAAAAGTGGCTGGGGTTAGTTGTAGCCTAGAAATGAGCCAGGTGGGATCCTCACCTCCATTCCTGTGCTTCAGAGCCAAGCAAACCTCAATGATCTGCACTCCCAGTTCATAGTAAAAGTCTCCAACTCCCAACATCTCTGACCAGAATCCTTTCCCAGCTGTGAAAGGAGAAAGGGAAAAGTGATTGGAACATTGGGAAAAAATCCTTCCTGAACAGTTAACAGGCTGCTCCCAAACCTCATTAGGAACACTTAGATTTTGGGTTATCCTCCCCTGTTTTCCCACACCCAACATCTCTGCCCAGGATCCTTTCCCAACTGTGAAGGGAGAAAGGGAAAAGTGATTGGAACATTGGGAAAAAATCCTTCCTAAACAGTTAACAGGCTGCTCCCAAAGCTCACTGGGAGCACTTGGATTTTGGGTTATCTCCACCTGTATTCCCAAACCCTTTAATCCACCAACCCCCAAAGCTGCATCACACCAATTCCCAGGACTCAAAGCTTTCCTCCAGGCCAAATTCCAGCAGCTCCAGCAGGAGCTGTTAACAGCCTGAGAGCAGTGAGAGGAGTCCTGTCCTCAGCCCTGAGCCTGTTCCTCACATGCCAAGGGATCCACTCCAATGGTTGCACACATGTCCTGGAACTGCACCCGGAATTCCGGGTTTTTCCGGATCTCCTGCTTGTGTTTGCTGGCAAACTCCTCCAGGTTGGTCTTAAACATGTCCAGCTGCTTGGACATCTGCAAGGGAATTGCAGAGAAGTGGTTCTACCTTAGCATAGATTTCAGAGTGGAGTTTCCCCTCTCTACACAGCCCCAAAGGGAGCAAAGGCTCCAGCACCACTCAGGACCTGCTGCCCACCCAGTCCTGGTGATTCCCACAGGGCTTGGAAGAAGGAAACAAGATGAAAACAGCTCAGTTAAGTCAGAATTCTCCATGTGTGGCACTTTGAGAACAAAGTGTCACACCCCAGTGGAGATAAGACAAGGCACTGGGTGATGGATAATGCTCAGCACACAGAGGGACACACAAAACCCAACTGAGCTCACAAGCACAGGGCAGGGGGAGATGTCCCACCTGGGCCAGTTGGTCTTCAGCCAGGACAGTCCCTCGCTCCTTGTACTTGGCCTGCAGGAGGAAAACAGGATGATGGAGACAGCTGAAGAGCAGGAAAGGACCTGGAAATGAAACTACACGAGGGAGATGCTCCTTAATGATGGATGAACCAGGAGTTGGACTAAATGATCCTCAGGGGTCCTTTCTGACTCTGCTTATTCTGTGAACCAGGAGGACACAGCCCTGGGCAAGGAGGGAGGCTCAGGGAATCCTGCTTGGAGCAGGGCTGGAGGGGCCTAAACCCCTCACTGGGCACCAGTGGAGCCTGACAGCTCCTCCCACCCAAGATTAGGGGCCCTGACTCCTCTCACACAACACCAGTGGAGCCTGACAGCTCCCCCCACCCAACACTGGGGGCTCTGGCAGCTCCCCCCCCAAAAAATGGGGGGGTCTGAGTCTCTACACAGCACCAATGGAACCCGACAGC